AAAACAAGTGAAGAGTACAGGTACGAGGTCCCAGCCAACAATGCTTGAAATGAAATTCTACAGGGCCAGGAGGGAAACCCACAGAGGCACCACTCCTGTGAATCGTGACTCGCATATGAATCATGTCCAAAGGCAGGAGAAAATCTGAGTCATGCTTGAGTGCCTGCAGATGGTGCAAACTGTCAAGCCCAGGAGGTCACAGATAAGGTTTTCCTGTTTCTTTTCTATTTTTTTTTTTTTAAGATTTTACTTATTTATTTGAAAGAGAGCAAGTGAGAGAGAGAGCATGAGCAGGGGGAGAGGGAGAAGCAGACTCCCCGGCTGAGCAGGGAGCCCAACGTGGGGCTCAATCCCAGGATCCTGGGATCATGACCTGAGCGGAAGGCAGATGCTTAACCGACTGAGCCACTCAGGTGTCCCTCTTTTCTATTTTTTAATGAATGAAAAGATAACTAGTTGCTTATTTAGACCCCACTTTGTCCCCAAATGAGAGCCTACTGTGACAATTTTGCCCTTAAGGAGCCCAATCTACCTTTGCTCCTTACAACAACCCTGTGAGGCAGGCAGGCAGGTAAAGATCTTTATCCCCTTTATAAAGATGATGAACCTGAGCATCAGCAAAGGTTGAAGGCTAAACTCTAGGGCTGGGGCACTCCCTCATCTATCATATCAGAATGTAGCAGAGGTCACATGTTCAAACTGCACAGTAACCACTAAGTCCAGCTCCCCACAAGAAGGCTTCCCTTTCACTGTTGTGACCCTGCACAAAACTGCTTCAAATAGAACTGCAAGTGAATGGCGAGCCAGAGCTCCCTGAGGTGAGAACTGGTGTCTTAATCGTTTTGTTTCTTCTCAGGCCTTAGCACAGTGCCTACAGTTCCATAAACATTTCTGGAATGGGTAAGAGTATAGTGAGTTTGAAGAAAGCAAACCATATTCCATGAAGATTGAGCATGGCTTGAAAGGAAAGTCACTTCAAAAACAAGCAAGGCAGAAAAAGATTATTCAAGCCTTTGAGAAAAGGAATCCAGTTAATTGTTCAACAAGGTTATAAGACAGGGAAGAAAAGCACTCTTCAGTGGAGGGAAAGCTAACCTCAGAAAGCTTTTAGTATTCATTCAAATACCTGATATGTGCCAGGAACTGTTTTAAGTTCTGAAGATACAGCCATGAGTGAAACAATCCTTGCCTTGTTGGAGCTTACAATAAAAAATACAAAATGAAAAGAACTAGTATGACAGGTGGTATTCTGGAGAAATAACTGGCAGGGAAGATGGATGGGGAGTGCCAGGGTAAAGAGTGGCAACTTGGGTAAGACCTAAAGGAAGGAATAGAACAGGCTGTGGGTAGGATGGCCATATCATTTATCATCCAGGACACCTTCGAGAGTGAAAGGGGACACTATTAGTAATTATACAGGACAATGAATTCAAACCAGGACTGTCCTGGGCAAACTCAGACATGTGCACCTTATCCATAAAGCTCTTCGCTGTGAGGGCAGAGCAGAGGGCAGAGCAAGAGAAAGCACCTCAGGTGCAGAATGTGCCTGATACATTTGGGAAACCACTTCACCCAAGTGCGAGGGGGAAGGAGACGAGATCTGAGAGTAACAAAGGGGTCGCAAGAGGCAGGGGGCTCTGTCGGCTACTGTAACACCTTCGGCCTTTAATCCGAGTGCACTGGGAAGCCCCAGAGGGTTCTGTGCACAGAATTTTCATGATCTGACTTCTATTTTCAGAGGATCACAAAGAACTGCTGTGCTGGAAATAAACTACATGAAAGGACAAAAGAAGGAAGCTGAAAGAACAGTTTGTGGGATACTGCAACAATCCAAGCAAAAGAGGAAGGTATCTTGGACAGGGCTGGGGCTGGTGGAGGTGATGACATATATGGAAAGATCAGAGATATATCCTGATAGCTCTGACATTAATTGGTTATTGTACACGGTAATAAAAATTGGAGTGATTTTTACCTAATCCTTTCTGTGGCTGGCTAACATAATTGATCAGGAAGCACAAGATAGAAGATGGGAGTTCAAGTCCTATGGGAGCCCAATGCTACAGCCTACCTCCTGATGACCCCTGGCCCCTTTGAAAACACATGCTACTGGTTGTAAAGGGACTGGGCAAAGGTAAGGATGATCCTACTTAACGCTCTCACCCTGACTAGAAAAAGAATCCAAGGAGCCCACACCTTCTCTAAGAAGCTACACATTCTAGAACATATTTATGTAATTGTGCACTTGCATACCAATTAAAGAGAATAATTTTGTGGACTGTTCAAATGCTTCTCACATATGGCAGCTTGGTCGTGGAAGCACAAATTCATTTGTCAATAAATGTGTAAAACACTGTGGGGAGAAGATGAATAAAGATAAGCTCTCTCAGTCTAGTGCAGAGACAGACATAGAAACAAACAGCGGGATCATGATATGCCAAGTAGTACAATTGCATTATGCATATGGAGCTCTGTGGAAACATGCCTACCATCTCCTGGGAAGGCCTGGGGATGAGAGAGAACCATCAGGGAGGGCTTCAAAGATAAGGTATTGTTGGGCTTGAATCATAAAGACTGAGCTGATGTCTGCCAGGAAGAACGAGGGTTGAAGGTAAGGGAAAAGCATATTCTGCAGGGGGACTAGTCCATGCAAAGGAATGAGGACAAAGATCTTCAGAGGAGCCACAAGCAATAGCTGGAATGTAACATATGCACATCTCATAACATACCCGGCAGTGGCAGCTCTCATTCAGTGAGCACGCCCCGTGCACGCCAGGCACCATTCCAAGCACCTTACGTGGTTTATCACATCAAATGATACAGATGATGAAAGTGAGACACACAGAGGTTACCTGGCCTGAGGGCCTCACTGCTCATTAGAAGTGGAGTCAGGACTCACATCCGAAGAGTCTACAGCCTGAGCTCTTTCTCCGTGCAGTGATGTGTGGAAGTGGTGGCAAATGAAGACACAAGGCAGGCAGGAGACAGGCAATGACCAGTATTATAGGCCATGAACCACGGGAGGGTTTTATACATGGGGAGGAGTGGCTGATCAGATTTGCATTTGGAACTATCTCCTTGGTGACAGTATGGAAGACGAATCAGAGGGGATAGGAACAGAAGCAGGAAGATCACTTAGAAGGCTGCTATCACAATCCTGGCCAGAAATGACAGGGGTCTGAAACAAAGCAGTGACAGTTGAGAATGGAGGGGAGGGGCCAGAGTCAGAAGAAAGAGGGAACAGAAGAGGGAGAGGGGGTGGGGGAACCACAAGACATGATTTTCGTTGTCAGTACACTAAGGATGAGGTCCTCCGGAGTCATCCAAGCAGAGAGGCCCATCAGATGCATGGATCTATGGCGTAAGCGTGATGGTGTCATTAGAGGATTTTCCACAACCATCCCCAAATAAGGATTCTTTGAAACTTCCTTTTTTCCTCAAAGTAGATTTCAAAATTCCAAAAGACTCATCTTCTGAGGAATCATCTGGTCTACCTTAGCTATCCCAGGCCCAGAACCACTCCAGGACTAGTCAGGGTAAATACTAGCGCTATTACCACTGGAACCCAGAATCCCCTGCTTCAGGTCACCAGTAAAACTAGCTCAAACTGTAGTCTTGTGAGCCCCAGAGCAGCCCTCCTTGGTACAACCCACCCCAAACAGCCTGGGAAGTTCAAAGTCTGGGTTCCTATAAAATGGCCCCTTGGTTTATTAACAAAATGGAAAGGTTGCCTTTATGATATTCTGAAGGCACTTTACAGGAGTCTGGCAGCCAAGTGACATTTTCAGAACCCTGAGTGCAGTCATTAAAAGTATCTTATCCCCAAATTGTTATTCAATTTGTTTTCTCATTTAAAGAGAAAGAATAAAAGAAAGAAACAGAGATAGAAAAGAAAGGAAGAAGGGAAGGAGGAAAGAAATGAATTAATTATAATCCTTTAGGGATTCATCTACTACCAACTGCTTTTCAAGACTTAGCCACAAACCTTTAGAAATACTGTTGGATGAAGCAACCAACGAATGAAAGAATTCTTCATTAACCACTCTCGTAACCACTCACTTTCACTACACCTTCTACTAAAACTTAGCTTAAAGTTTTAGAAATGCAAGTTAGTTATAGAAAACTAAGACAGAGAAGAGCAGCCCCATTTCCACACTGCCCCACCCCCCAAGTTTTAATGTTTTTCACACTCATGTTGAACAACAGCTGTCCTTTGAAGTTTTCCAAAATCTGCCCTCACCCATCCCAACTCCTGCTCCCCTACATCCTAAAGGTACTCTGAACAGTGTGGTCGAAATGAGGAACAGCAGTCTGAGTCAAGACACCTGGCCAAGGGCTTGAGAGATTCATGTAATATCTCTACACCTCTGGGCATTAAATTGCCTCATGTGCAAATTACATTTAATAGCATATGCCCTCTTAGAATGATTGCATGACAGGATAGATATACAAGTGCTTCCAGAAAGCATATAACCTGTGTTAGTAGAAGTTCATACTCTCCCCACCTCCACCTAGAACCCTCACCTGCTAATTCTCTAGGTAACCAAATTCTGTGCCTTCGAGTCTGAGGTGCATGCCCACTTCTCAGACGCCACCCTTCTCTTTTCTGATCTCACAACTGGAACCACACTGTTCCCCTCTGGGCCTCTCCTGATTGTTTTTATGTTGCTGGGTAAGCCCCCTACTCACAGATCTGGAAGCTTCTCCACAGCAGAGGCCACTCCTGCTGTCCCTGGTGTTACCCTCCAAACTAAGCTCATAAGGGGCCCTTGGTCACGACTCACTGACAGGTCAATGATTAATGAGGCTTAACCAATGTATTCTCGGCTAAAAACATAATGTGCAGCCCATTTATAATTCCATGCATTATACAGCACCGCTTCTAAATAGGTCACCCAAAATTGTGGCTGAAATGATCCCAAAATAGACTTGGCCCTGCTTCTCTGGCCCCCATGTCTTTTCTAGATGTGAGCCTGCAACTCTAAGCATCCCAGCTCTGTTACCTCTTGGATTGGTTACCTGCACCACTGTTGCTAAGCAGGCTGACAGAAAGCTCTTCTGTTCCACTGAAGTTCAAGAAGGACATGCTGTCACCAGGCTGGCGGGAAGTGCTGTGCCTGCAGAGAACAGAGCCCAGCCACCTGGCTTAATGCAGATCATCACCTCTTTCATCCTGCTCACCCTGTATCCCAGGAGCTTTCATCAAAAACAGCTCTGAATATCTGGCCACATGGGCTGGCAACAACTGGGAGCCATATCAGAGGCTACCAGGCTGCCATGCTCGGTATGTGGGCCAGCTTTGGCCTCCTGTGGCCTGCTTATCCTGCCCTGGCCCCCCAAAAACTGCTCTCCCACTGATATATTGGGCGGCCCGCCCTTTCCTGTCCTCAGCCTCCCCCTGCTCACATGGACAGGAGGATATGAGGTGACTGAAAAGAGGTACCAAGTTAAGCTGATGAAGAGGGTCACGCCCTGCCCATATCCCATCCAACCCATGGCATGTCGAGGTGATTGAAAAAGGGGTCAAAGACTGCCCTTTGCCAAGTTGTTTCCTAAAGCATCACAGGAACAGTGAGGCCAGCTGTCACCCCAGCTCATGTCTGTCAAGGCTTAAATGACTTTCTTCCTGCACTGACTCTCTTGGATGCCTTGTAACGCATTCAGAACTTGGGTTCAAAGAGTTGTTTCTATAAACGCAGGCCTTGATTTCCATTGCTTTTGCATAAGAAACTTCTAAACTCAACAGTGGAATTTCTCAGAAGTCACAGACTGCCCGAAACACGCAGCATGAACCACCTGTCTCAGCACTCGTTCTCACCCTTGGCTGAGGTTTAGACAAAACTCATGTTTGAGGTTTACAAAGTGTGCTTTGAATGAAAGCTACAGCAGGGCCTGGGTAACATGTGTGGCAACAGTGTCAGGCTGTTTGCTTTGCATTTGACCCCATGAAAAGAACGGCACTGACAAAGGAAGGGCTTGATCTCATCCCGTCCCTTCAAGTCTTAGAAACATAACATTTTGTCAGCAGACTGTGTTCTGCCATGGTCCTGGGTGCTGGGGAGTTTCTCAAGGGACCTTCTGAAGCCCTACGCACATCCTCACCTTCCAGCAGCTTCATGATATGCTAATTCCAGCAGCTCTGCAGAGGAGTGAGTTGGGTCCCTCTGCCAGCTGCCCTGCAGCTCCGCCATATTCTGTCGGGTCTGGTGATGGATCTGGATGGCCTCTCCGGATGGTCCTACCCAGACAAAGATCCACTGAGCATCATTCCCACCCAAGAGCTACTGCTTTGTACTTAGCTTTACTCTTCCTTCTTTCCAGCTGCTGGGACATGCGTGCTGGGAGAGACCAAGAGGAGAGCACACCAAGGGGAACATTACACACATGACCCTCCAGCTTCCCAAAAGGACATCTCCTCTTCCGAGCAGGACTCATCCTCCTGTGGGGCCTCATATTTGTCACCCTGTTCAGCCTAAGAATACGTTAGGAGCCGCTGTTTCATGCGTGTCAAGCTGAGACACTGGGGAGAAACACTGACGTAGAGGAGTAGAGGGCCCCTCCCAGGAGGGCTAACACAAACTAAACGACAAGGAACACACAAGTGAAATGTCAGTGACTCTGTTAATACATGAGACGGTGACAATGGTGACTCTAAGGAGCAGAGGATGAGCAAGTGCAGAAAAGACATCGGGTGGGCGGGAGAGAAATCACGATTAGTGAAATCTACCAAAAAAAATGCTTCCTGGGGAAGGAGAAGCTTCCGAGGGGAGTGTTCAGCAAGGTTAGCAGGAACTGAAGGAGAGGGTACCTGGGCAGAAGAAACAATGTGTGCGAAATCCCAAATGTGGAGGAGGCAAAAGACAAGCAGGAGACCACCAGATGAGCTTGGGGAAGAACATCTGAGCATAGGAGCGAGGAGACGCCAAGTTGGGGAACTGGGCAAAGGATGGCCTCAACTATGAGCAGGCCAGGTGGGCAGGAGGAGGAAACAGAGTAAGTGGGGCCAGACAGTCGTGTTTTAGTAAAGTGTGCCTGACAATTGGGAGCAAGAAGAGCTGGAGGTCACACAAGAAACATCAACAGTTCTCGTAAGAGAATCCAAAGGGAGTCTGTGGGGATAACAACATAGGGAAAGAGACATTGGAGAGAAACAAATCATGTGACTGATTATGGCAGGGAGAAGGGGGGCAAAGAGGAGTTTGGGAGTGACCCCCCCCATTACAGCCCAAACAACCAGATTCATTTCTCACTTATTTAACTTTTAACACTAAAAGCAAGTGGAAAAGGAAGTAACTAGACATGCACAGGCATTCAGCAGGATCACTTCCATGAAAAAACCCTGGAGTTTAATGCATCTGTTCCTTCCTAGCCCAGTCAGAGCCCATTAAGCTGAAGTTTAATTTTAGCCACAGCTTTATAAAACCTTACTGTCATCCTCTGTAGGAGAGAACACAGATCAAAAAGGACGGGCTAGGAAAAACAGTGAATTTGAAGAAAAAAAATTTTTTTTAAGTTTTGATTGCTTTTGAACTTCATTTAAATGGAATCATACAGAATGTACTTTTTTTTGTCGAGCTTCTTTCATTATGTTTGTAAATTTAAACATAGGTTTGGATGTGGTTGTAGTTCATTTTTATTTCTGTATAGCCTCTCATTATAAAAAATAGAACCCACTTATTTTATCCTTTGTTTTTTTTTTTTATTTATTTGAACTAAAAAAAAGAAATGGTTCACCCATTTCTCAAAAACTGTTTTTGTTTTTTTTTTCAGTTGTCAGAGAACCCTGAGAAAACACAGAGTAACATAACTTCTGTGTAACCAAGACAATAATATCACTACCAGAGAGAGCTAGGAGAGGAAGGAATGAACAAGAATGAAGGGCATTAGTCTTAAGAAAGAAAGCAGGTGACAAAGTACAGTCCTTTCCAAACAAAAATGAGAAGCCCTTAGGTTTACACAGCTCGGTAATTACAAAGCCCTTTCCAAGTGTGTCCTCAAGGATCCTCACAAGAATCCCTGGGGTAGGCAGAATGGCCATGGTTATCCCCATCTCATGAGTAGGGCACTGGAGGTGTAGAGAAGTTGAGATACTTGACCAAGGCCACATGGTTGGTTAGTGACAAGGACCAGGACTAGTAACTCCCAGCCCAGGCTCTTTCCTGAGCAACCAACTTACCCACAGGAAAAGTGTGCATCCAGCGCCTTCTGTTGGATGTGAGCTTCATGGGCATTCGTGAGGGGGCAAAAGGGTTAATCAGTGCCCGCTGGGGTGTGTATCCCCCAGGTCGAACATGCAGCATGGACTCCGCACTGCCTACGTGGAACCTCCCCGGAGCACTAGAGTCTCGCTGTGGTGGCTCCATCATGTTCTCCAGGACATCTGTCAGTTATTGTGGAGGCACAAAGAGAAAGCACAGAGCCACGGTGAAACCAGGAATGGGCAGGCAATTAGCCAAGCTGACCAGAATCTTGGACATCACACATGTTAGGGAGTGAGAGAAATGAGTAAAATCATTTACCAAACTATAATGAAATGCAACATTTGATTTACTTTTTAAACACTTGAGAGAGGGGCACCTGGGTGGCTCAGTCAGTTAAGCATCCGACTCTTGACTTCAGCTCAGGTCATGACTCAGTGCTGGGAGTGGGGCCTGCTTCGGATTCTCTCTCCCTCTCCCCTGCCCCCTCCCCCATGCTTTCTAAATAAATAAATAAATACTTGGGAGAAGGGGGTTCCTAAATTACTGGTTCCTAAATTACTGGCCCAATGAAGCCACCCCAAAACCGGATAGGGAGGACCACACATCACCTGGAGACCTTACACTTTGAGTTCAATGTAATGACTTGAGTTTTTTCCCTGGGAGATAGGATGAGTATATTCTATATGTGGAAGGAACAATAAAAACAGATATTTGGTGCCTAGAAGGGCAGACCCTGGCAGAGATAGCCAATGTGTAGGCACACGAGACTACAGCCCCTTTGTGCTGGGGCTAAATAACTTCATTCCACCTCTTGCACTATTTGTGGGAATGCAAACTGGTGCAGCCACTGTGGAGAAGAGTATGGAGGCTCCTCAAAAAATTAAAAATAGAATTACCCTATGATGTAGTAATCACACTACCAGGTATTTACCCAAAAAATACAAAAACACTAAATCAAAGGGATACATGCACCTCTATGTTTATAGGAGGATTACTTACAATAGCCAAATTATGGAAGCAGCCCAAGCATCCAGCATTGATGAATGGAGAAAGATGTGGTATATGCATACAATGGTATATTATTCAGCCATGAAAAAGAATGAAATCTTGCCATATGCAATAACATGGATGGAGCTAGAGAATATTACACTAAGCAAAATAAGTCAGTCAGAGAAACACAAATACCATATGATTTCACTCATATGTGGAATTTAAGAAACAAAACAAATGAGCAAAGGAGAAAGAGAAAGAGAGACAAACCAAGAAACAGACTCTTAACTATAGAGAACAAACTGATAGTTACCAGAGGGGAGGTGGGGGGGGGATAGTGATTAAGGAGTGCACTTGTGATGTGCAATGGGTGATGTATGGAATTGTTGAATCACTATACTGTATACCTGAAACTAATATAACACTGTATGTTAACTACACTGGAAATAATAAAATGAAATGAAATAAAATAAATAAAATAAAATAAAATATAAAATAAAATAAAATAATAAAATAAAATAAATAAAAATAAAATAAAATAAATAAAATAAAATAAAATAAAATAAAAAATTCGTTCCAGCCAACAGAACACAGGTAGAAGTGCCATGCTCCAGTTGAAGGTCTGGACCACAAATATCTCCACTCATGATATCCATTCTCTTTTGCCCTACTGTGCCAACTTTGAAGACCAGTGCTAATGATCACAGCATCCCAGGATAGAAGGAGCCTGGGGCCCTAATGACTGAGTGGATCAGAACCCCCTCCCACTGACTCAGTGACCTGGAAATAAGTAAGCAATCAAATGCCACCATGTTAAAAAAAAAAAAAAAGAATTCTTGGGAGAAAAGATTGAAGAAATGGATGCATCCAGTGTTGACTAGGCAAGGAGGTGACATGATATTTAGACTCAATCTGTCCCCCGTCCAATGGTAGACAGGTCCCTATTAAAGAGATGGAGGCCACAGGCTACACAACCTAAGTGGATCAGAGAGCTAAAACCCACAACCAGCTCCCCTTGTGTGCATCCCATGTTCACTAAGCAATCACCCACATTAGAAAGTGGGTCCAACAGATGCAAATTCCGTGGCACAAGGAATCTGTCTTGTCCACCAATATTTAGCCAATGTCTACAAAGAACGTGGTATATAGCAATAGTTAATTCCTCAAAGCTGATTTGCATGCAAGAGAACATTCAGATCTCCGTGAAAGCTATATTTTTCACTGTTAATGAATTGATGTTCTGGTTTACCAAATAAAAAAGAATATGGTCTAGTTATCATGAAAATAAAAGGAGAAAACCCAATTAAAAGAAAAGATAAGTTCATGCTTTGAAAAGGATGAGAAATAGGACTAAGGGATATAGTGGGTCAAAAATACATGTCGAGGAAAGGGGAAATGTTTTCTACGTTACATTGGGTAGGTAAATAGATAAGACCCCCTAAACACAGCAGAGAAACAGTAAACTAAGGGCCTAGAGATTATACTGCCTTACAATATCCCAGTGAATCGCTTTTTAGCTTTTTCAATAAACTCCCAAATATCACTAAAGGACATTGAAATCAATTCTACTATTCAGACAATTTTTAAGAAAACTATTTTCAAAGCTACAATGTTATTTCCTCAGAGATCTGGCTTTTAGAGTAACAAGGGTTTTGAAAGAATTAACGTTTAGTTTAATTTAGCTTTTTTTTTTTTTTTTAAAGATTTTATTTATTTATTTGACAGAGAGAGACACAGCGAGAGAGGGAACACAGGCAGGGGGAGTGGGAGAGGGAGAAGCAGGCTTCCCGCGGAGCAGGGAGCCCGATGCGGGGCTCAATCCCAGCACCCTGGGATCATGACCTGAGCCGAAGGCAGACGCTTAACGACTGAGCCACCCAGGCGCCCCTAATTTAGCTTTTGTTACAGACCCTACTAAGAATATTTTCAGCAAAATGGGAGTAACTGTCATGCAAACGTAGAAATTTCCAGAAAGTGGGAAAAAGCTAACTTAGAAAATTTCAAATGTATTAAAATTCCTTTGAATGCTAAAACTAATTAATGTAGGTGACACAGGTTATATACTATAGTCATGTAATTAAATATCTGCTCCTGTCACTTTCAGCATTTCCTTTTTATTCTTTGAGCCAGTTAAAAAACAAATGAACTTTATTCTGTTGTCAAAAATTTTCCTAGGCCTTTGGCACAGTGTATATGGTGCTGGGGCTGATGCCTTCCTCTTCAACATCCTGGGGCATAGAAAACACTCCTCACCCTTCAGCAATCCTTCCAGGAGGGCAAAAGGGGTGAGCTGTGTGTATACAACATTCCTAAGTCAGTGATCAAAAGTCAGAAGGGCTATGCTTCCATTTATAGAACATCCTTGAAATTAAAATTATAGAGAAAGAGAATGATTAGTGAGAGTCTATGGCTATAAAGGGGTAGCACAAAGAGCCTTGCAGTGATGGAATAGTTTGGTATCTTAATTATGATGATAATCATAAATAAATAAAGCTACACATGTAATAAAAACTGCATAGGGGGCACCTGGCTGGCTCAGTTGGTAGAGCATATGACTTGATCTCAGAGTCATGAGTTCAAGACCCATGTTGGGCATGGTGCTTACTTAGAAAACAAACAAACAAACAAACGGCACAGAAACACACATGCACAAATGAGCACATGTTAAGCTGGTGAAATCTGAATAAGCTCTGTGGCTTGTACCAATGTCAGTTTCCTGGGTTTGATGTTGTCTGTAGTTACACAACATGTTGCCATGGGGGAAAATGAACGAAAGGTACACAGGACGTCCTTGGGGGGGGGGGTAGGGGGCATGTGTAATTTGCAATTTTCCATGAATCCATAATTATTTCAAAATATAAAGTTTTTTTATTTTTTTTTTAAGATTTTATTTATTTATTCATGAGAGAGAGAGGCAGAGAGAGAGAAGCAGGCTCCCCACTGAGCAGGGAGCCCGATGCGGGACTCGATCCCAGGACCCTGGGATCATGACCTGAGCCGAAGGCAGACGCTTAACCATCTGAGCCACCCAGGCGCCCTCAAAATAAAAAGTTTTTTAAAAAGTCAGGAGGGGCCTGTAGACTCCAGCTGCAGGTGCTGTTGGATGGCAGGATAAGATACAGAGAAAGCAGCACCTGTGCTCCTTAGTGCAAGCCAGGTTAGCAGGTAACTGCGAGGAGAAATCTTAAAGCAGACTATGGGGCGAAGGCTGTTTTAAGGATGGCACAAATGGCAGTGATAAGTAAACAGGGCGCCTGGGTGGCTCAGTCAGTTAGGCATCTGCCTTCAGCTCAGGTCATGATCTCAGGGTCCTGGGATTGAGCCCCATGTTGGCCTCCCTCCTCAGCAGTGAGTCTGCTTCTCCCGCTGCCTCTGTGCGCTCTCTCTTTCTCTCTCTCTCTCTCAAGTAAATAAAATCTTTAAAAAAATAAATTTTTTTTTTAAATTTTTAAAAAAGGAAATAAGCAAACACCTTTGACTTGAGGCCTAAGAAAAGCTCTACATTAACTTAAGGAACGGTATACAGTTACAGTGAAGGGGGAAAAGGTGTTAGAGGCACATACATACAGCTCAGGTGACTTAAACTCATTGCACTGGCATGGAAATAATTAAGATGTGGGAGTTACACCCCACACCTGGCACATCCCATCCCCCCCAACCCCCTGCTACAGGAAGGGAGCTGTCCCCATCTGTCCCCAGCTGTGCCCGTGCTTCAGCTCTCTGACCTCGAGTGCTGGTGTAGCCCAAGGAGCTGCTGACTTCATACTGGTGCAGGTGGGGGTGTGGGATCATCAGGATGTTGGCGCTCCTGCCCAGGGAGCTGTCGTCAGAAGCCTGGCTCCTCACCTCCTCGGTGGGCAATGCGCGGCTGGGCAGGGAAGGGCTGGATGAGACGTCACAGGAGCTGGCGCTCTTTCGATTGTGACTCTCCCGCTCTCGCACAGACCTGACAGGTGAGAGACGACGAGTTACCAACAAGCAAGTGATGCTGCCCCACCTAGAACTAAAGCACCCAAACCTATTGCCAGCCCAAGCTACTTGGGAAACCAATAGCAAAAATCCCCAATGTGATCTATGACTGGGAGATAATGTAGGAGGTATTCTTGCTTGACCAGCTTGAGACATTGTGTAAGAACTGACCGTTTTCAAATGGCCCAAGTCCTGGGGTCATAGCTATAAAGCCGTGACGGCTCCAGTCCAACCCTAGTTGATCCCCACCGATCCATCTCATATCACTGAAAACGGGGCAACTAAGCAGGATATGATATGATGCAAGACAAAGTACACAGTGCCACCTCAAGAGTCTTCCTGCACGAAAAACTGAGCCTAAATCTAATCAAGCCTCTGAAGGTAATTGCTAGTTTATAGGAAATCCAGAGAAGAGAGGACAAGTTAAACATTGTAACACAACAATGAGCCAAATGAAGAAAGCAACACAATCTACGGTTACAGAAAAAAGACATTCCAATTAAATGCAATGTCTGCATCTTCTTCAGATCCCAATTCAAACCAACCAACTGTAAAAACACATTTTTGAAACAATTGGGAAATCTGAATATAGACTGGCTATTAGAAGATATTAAAGAATTAGTGTTAATTCTGGTACTTGTGATTATTTATTCTTATCTGTTAGAGACATACACTATGGTATTTACAGGTTTAAAAAAAGGTTTTGCTTTAGAATACTCAAGCAAAATGTAAAATGTGGGGAAAGTAATGAAATGAGTCTGACAAGACACTGATCACTCTTCATTATACTACTCTATTTGACCATGTTCAAACATTTCCTTAATAAAGGTTTAAAAAACAGTATACCCTTATTAAAACATAAAACTCCCTAAGGGCGAAAACTCTGGAAGCAGTAGGAGGAAGGATCAAAAGGGGAGAAGCCCAATGGGGAGACAAAAATTCAGAATGGAAAAGTTAGCACCTATAGATAGGGCTTTCCCTCTGGCATCAGAGCTGTTCTCTTTCCACCTGGAAAGATTTTGTCTTAAGTCAGAGCTTAAACAGCCTGAACACAGATCCCCTGGGCTGACCATATGTACACTATTGCAACAGTAAATATTTGGACACCAGTGTATGCGCAGTCCTGCACAGGGGACAGAGCACCAATTAAAACATGGTCTGCTCCCTCAGGGAACACATAATCCAAGTCTCTGAAATACCAGGTCTTGCCAACTTTGATTAGAAAAAAGAAAACCAAGGATCTTGGACCATGAAAGCATTCTTAAATACTCCAAAGGAGGGGTGCCTGGGTGGCTCAGTCGTTAAGCGTCTGCCTTCGTCTCAGGTCATGATCCCAGGGTCCTGGGATCGAGCCCTGCATCAGGCTCCCTGCTCGGTGGGAAGCCTGCTTCTCCCACTCCCCCTGCTTGTGTTCCCTCTCTTGCTGTGTCTCTGTCAAAAACATAAAAATCTCAAAAAAAAAAAAAAAATACTCCAAAGGAAAGCACTACCGAGCTCCTAAGCAGCATCTATGTGTGGGAGAGCTGTAGTTAACGGCACTAAATGTTCTCAACATTTAGGAAATGTTTTGTCTGAGCTCTAAATGTTTTCATCTTAGGATGAGATGAGGAAAAAGGACAGGAGACAATCATATGGCCACTATAAGCTCATTTATCAATGTGAAGGGATGCATATTCTTCCAATCATTGTGCTTAAATAAACTTGCATATATAAGAAATCTGGAAAATGGACTCATGGTATTTGGTCCACTGGTGGAGGGTGGGGGGAAGCCCTGGGATAGGGATGGTATTTTTTTACATAATACTCAGAAATGAATATATTGGTAAATCTAACTACATCACAGTTAAAGACTATCATATGACCAAATACCATGGAGCAAATTTAAAAGGCAATTAAAGAAAGGTCTCTTGCCTTCTGGGAATAAAAAACCCAAAAGATTGGCAGCCCAGTGAGAAGAAGATTCTAGAATCTGTGAATTATTTCTCTTGGTTAGAAAAAGCAGAGGAACACTCTCTTTATTTGGGGAAAATACTTCCCACAAATATAGCTAACAAAATGGGTGGGCCAGAGAACCTGGAAACAGAATCCCCAATGATCTACATAGGATAGCTTCCATTGGCTAATTTTAATTTTAAACATTTTCAGGGTTGCTCTCATGAAGGTCCCAAGAGGCCCTCAGGTTTTCCCAAGCAATTTTTGTATACACCCCAAAGTGAATCTGGCAAAAAACCTGCAGGTGGCGAGGCGCTGAGCCCGGGACGGGCCTGGCAGCCTGAACACTTGGGCGTCGTAGGCATCATAATCTACTTGGATAGGAAGGGCGTTCTCAGATTCTTTTGGAGTCCCAAGAGCTGAAATGCATAAATCACACGAATTGTCATTAAAACACATTTCAACCAGATGCCTTCAGAGGGCCTTCATTAAAATCTGCAAGGCACAGATGATCACCATCATGTCCCCCTGAGAAAAGTGGGGGTTGCTGAAATTAAATGACTTACATGTCAAAGTGACATAGAAAATAACATTAGCACTAGGGCACCTGGGTGGCTCAGTCAGTTAAGCATCCGACTCTTGATTTTGGCTCAGGTCATGATCTCACAGTCGTGAGATCAAGCCCCGCATCGGGCTTCGCACTCAGTGTAGAGTCCACTTTAGAGTCTCTCTCTCTCTCTCTCAAAATAAATAAATAAAACATCTTTTAAAAATAGTATAGCACTAAATAAAGGGAAGATTTTGGTGGTATTTCATTCTTCTGTGATCCCACTTAAAAAAGATCATCTTAATATGCAGTGCGGTTAGTACTTTAAAATTTTCTACCCAATCCCTATAACTGACCTATGGAAAAGAAAAACAAGGTTTGTCACCATTAATTTTGCAGTTGACGGGACAAAATATACAAAGTGGTTAAGGGACCTTCCAAAGGGAACTCAAGTCTCCCAACTTAGCTATGAACTGTTTATATGACCTCACATAATCTTGTTGCTATGGCTTAGCGACTCTTTCTAAAAGGGATGAAAGGAGATCTCAAAAATACTCACATGTATCACGGCCATTTTTTGCTTTCTCAGAGGCAGGCTGTAAAATTAAATAGATAATTAATCACTCCCTCCTCTGCCAGAATAGAACTTCTCAAAAGGTACAATATGTAGGTGGCTGCTCTCCAGGGAAGGGACCATGCCTTACCCCTCACTGTAACTGATGGAAAGGCAGGAGGGAACACTTGAGGCCCACCCACCTCAGTGTCAGGCCCTATTAGGCCCACCTCACACCTTGGTCACCCTCAAAACTCTATCCAATGGGGGCATTACACCCCACCTTACAGGCGAGGATACTCAATTCTAGAGAGAAAAGGGGACTTGCTCAAAGTTATACTGTTAGCAGGTGGAAGAGCCAAAATCCAAGCCCAGCCCTTCATGCTCTTGGTCAGTCCACTGGCATGTATGTCCTACCATGGCTAGCTTCTACCTGACCCCAAGCCCCACATGCATGCTTCCCCCTTCACCATGGTACTCTCACCAGTCTGCCTACACCTACAAGAGCTCAGCACTCAGTGGATCACCCAATTTGCTGAAATGGCGTACAGAGGCAGAGAGAAAATGGAAAGAGCTGCTTTTTTTTTTCCCAAATAAATCTTTTTCAGGACCCTTTAAACTTTCGTAACAATACTCATTCTTTCTTCTTTAAAACGATCATGTTGCAGGGGCGCCTGGTGGCTCAGTCGGTTAGGCGTCCACCTCTTGATTTCAGCTCAGGTCATGATCTCAGGGTCATAAGATCAAGCTCCACATCAGGCTCCGCACTTGGCAGGGAGTCTGCTGGAGATTCTCTCTGCCTCTGCCCCTCCTCCCCCGCTCACACACGTGTGTGTGCGCTCTCAAATAAATACAT